CATCACCACCATCACCACCATCATAAACATTACGACCATCACCACCACCATCATCATCATCACCATTACCACCATCACCACGACCACCATCATCACCATCACCACCATCATCACTATCATTATCAGTAGGATCATCACCAATGACTTGGTGACTGTGTGAGTGAGTGACTGGGTGAGTGAGTGAGTGACTGTGTGAGTGAGTGAGTGACTGTGTGAAAGAGTGAGTGGGTGACTGTGTGAGTGAGTTGGTGAGTGAGTGGGTGACTGTGTGAGTGAGTGACTGTGTGAGTGGATGACTGTGTGAGTGAGTGACTGTGTGAGTGAGTGACTGTGTGAGTGAGTGACTGTGTGTGCGAGAGAGTGAGTGGGTGACTGTGTGAGTGAGTGAGTGGGTGACTGTGTGAGTGGGTGACTGAGTGAGAGGGTGACTGTGTGAGTGGGTGACTGTGTGAGTGGGTGACTGAGTGAGTGGGTGACTGTGTGAGTGGGTGACTGTTTGAGTGAGTGACTGTGTGTGTGTGTGACAGTGGGTGTGAGTGACTGTGTGTGACCGTGGGTGTGAGTGAGTCAGTGGGTGACTGTGTGTGTGTGACCGTGTGTGTGAGTGAGTGAGTGGGTGAGTGTGTGAGTGAGTGGGTGACTGTGTGAGTGATTGGGTGAGTGAGTGGGTGACTGTGTGAGTGAGTGACTGACTGTGTGAGTGGGTGAGTGGGTGACTGTGTGAGTGGGTGACTGTGTGTGTGTGAGTGAGTGACTGTGTGAGTGACTGTGTGAGAGGGTGACTGTGTGAGTGGGTGAGTGAGTGGGTGACTGTGTGAGTGAGTGGGTGAGTGAGTGGGTGACTGTGTGAGTGAGTGACTGACTGTGTGAGTGGGTGAGTGGGTGACTGTGTGTGTGTGAGTGAGTGACTGTGTGAGTGACTGTGTGAGTGAGTGACTGTGTGAGTGAGTGAGTGGGTGACTGTGTGTGTGATTGAGTGAGTGGGTGACTGTGTGACTGTGTGAGTGGGTGACTGTGTGAGTGGGTGACTGTGTGAGTGAGTGACTGTGTGAGTGGGTGACTGTGTGAGTGAGTGACTGTGTGAGTGAGTGGGTGACTGTGTGAGTGGGTGACTGTGTGAGTGGGTGACTGTGTGAGTGAGTGACTGTGTGAGTGGGTGACTGTGTGAGTGGGTGACTGTGTGAGTGGGTGACTGTGTGAGTGAGTGGGTGACTGTGTGAGTGGGTGACTGTGTGAGTGGGTGACTGTGTGAGTGGGTGACTGTGTGAGTGGGTGACTGTGTGAGTGAGTGACTGTGTGAGTGAGTGGGTGACTGTGTGAGTGGGTGACTGTGTGAGTGGGTGACTGAGTGAGTGGGTGACTGTGTGAGTGGGTGACTGTGTGAGTGAGTGACTGTGTGAGTGAGTGACTGTGTGAGTGAGTGGGTGACTGTGTGAGTGGGTGACTGAGTGAGTGGGTGACTGTGTGAGTGGGTGACTGTGTGAGTGGGTGACTGTGTGAGTGAGTGGGTGACTGTGTGAGTGAGTGGGTGACTGTGTGAGTGGGTGACTGTGTGAGTGAGTGACTGTGTGAGTGAGTGGGTGACTGAGTGAGTGGGTGACTGTGTGAGTGGGTGACTGTGTGAGTGGGTGACTGTGTGAGTGAGTGACTGTGTGAGTGAGTGACTGTGTGAGTGAGTGGGTGACTGTGTGAGTGGGTGATTGTGTGAGTGGGTGACTGTGTGAGTGAGTGACTGTGTGAGTGAGTGACTGTGTGAGTGAGTGGGTGACTGTGTGAGTGGGTGACTGTGTGAGTGGGTGACTGTGTGAGTGAGTGACTGTGTGAGTGAGTGGGTGACTGTGTGAGTGGGTGATTGTGTGAGTGGGTGACTGTGTGAGTGAGTGACTGTGTGAGTGGGTGACTGTGTGAGTGAGTGACTGTGTGAGTGAGTGACTGTGTGAGTGGGTGAGTGTGTGAGTGAGTGGGTGACTGTGTGAGTGAGTGAGTGGGTGACTGAGTGAGTGAGTGACTGTGTGAGTGACTGTATGAGTGAGTGACTGTGTGAGTGAGTGGGTGACTGTGTGAGTGGGTGACTGTGTGAGTGAGTGACTGTGTGAGTGGGTGAGTGTGTGAGTGAGTGGGTGACTGTGTGAGTGGGTGACTGTGTGAGTGGGTGACTGTGTGAGTGAGTGACTGTTTGAGTGGGTGACTGTGTGAGTGGGTGACTGTGTGACTGAGTGGGTGACTGTGTGAGTGAGTGACTGTGTGAGTGAGTGAGTGGGTGACTGTGTGTGTGATTGAGTGAGTGGGTGACTGTCTGACTGTGTGAATGGGTGACTGTGTGAGTGAGTGGGTGACTGTGTGACTGAGTGGGTGACTGTGTGAGTGGGTGACTGTGTGAGTGAGTGGGTGACTGTGTGAGTGGGTGACTGTGTGAGTGAGTGGGTGACTGTGTGAGTGACTGTATGAGTGAGTGACTGTGTGAGTGAGTGGGTGACTGTGTGAGTGACTGTATGAGTGAGTGACTGTGTGAGTGAATGACAGAGTGAGTGACTGAGTGAGTGGGTGACTGAGTGAGTGGATGACTGTGTGAGTGACTGTGTGAGTGACTGTGTGAGTGAGTGACTGTGTGAGTGACTGTGTGAGTGAGTGACTGTGTGAGTGGGTGACTGTGTGAGTGAGTGCGTGGGTGACTGTGTGACTGAGTGGGTGACTGTGTGAGTGGTTGACCATCAGCTTCTGGAGGTTGACTCCAGACAGGGACATCTCTGGCACGTTCTCCACCATGAAGTTCTGTTAACTGGCTGGGTGGGTGACTGTGTGAGTGGGTGACTGTGTGAGTGACTGTGTGAGTGAGTGACTGTGTGAGAGGGTGACTGTGTGAGTGACTGTGTGAGTGAGTGACTGTGTGAGTGACTGTGTGAGTGAGTGACTGTGTGAGTGGGTGACTGTGTGAGTGACTGTGTGAGTGAGTGAGTGAGTGACTGTGTGAGTGGGTGACTGTGTGAGTGGGTGGGTGAGTGGGTGACTGTGTGAGTGGGTGACTGTGTGAGTGAGTGGGTGACTGTGTGAGTGGGTGACTGTATGAGTGAGTGACTGTGTGAGTGAGTGTGTGACTGTGTGAGTGGGTGGGTGACTGTGTGAGTGACTGTATGAGTGAGTGACTGTGTGAGTGAGTGACTGAGTGAGTGACTGAGTGAGTGGGTGACTGAGTGATGGATGACTGTGTGAGTGACTGTGTGAGTGAGTGACTGTGTGAGTGTGTGAGTGGGTGACTGTGTGAGTGGGTGACTGTGTGAGTGGGTGACTGAGTGAGTGGGTGACTGTGTGAGTGAGTGAGTGGATGACTGTGTGAGTGGGTGACTGTGTGAGTGAGTGACTGAGTGAGTGAGTGAGTGACTGTGTGAGTGAGTGAGTGGATGACTGTGTGAGTGGGTGACTGTGTGAGTGAGTGACTGTGTGAGTGTGTGACTGTGTGAGTGAGTGACTGTGTGAGTGTGTGAGTGGGTGAGTGAGTGAGTGGGTGACTGAGTGACTGTGTGAGTGAGTGGGTGGGTGACTGTGTGAGTGGGTGACTGTGTGAGTGAGTGAGTGGGTGACTGAGTGACTGTGTGAGTGAGTGGGTGGGTGACTGAGTGAGTGGGTGACTGTGTGACTGTGTGACTGTGTGAGTGACTGTGTGACTGTGTGACTGTGTGAGTGGGTGACTGTGTGAGTGGGTGACTGTGTGAGTGGGTGAGTGAGTGAGTGGGTGACTGTGTGAGTGAGTGGGTGACTGTGTGAGTGGGTGAGTGAGTGAGTGGGTGACTGAGTGAGTGAGTGAGTGGGTGACTGAGTGAGTGGGTGACTGTGTGAGTGGGTGACTGAGTGAGTGAGTGAGTGGGTGACTGAGTGAGTGGGTGACTGTGTGAGTGGGTGACTGTGTGAGTGAGTGACTGTGTGAGTGAGTGGGTGACTGTGTGAGTGGGTGACTGAGTGAGTGACTGTGTGTGTGGGTGACTATGTGAGTGGGTGACTGTGTGAGTGGGTGACTGTGTGAGTGGGTGACTGTGTGAGTGGGTGACTGCGTGAGTGAGTGGGTGACTGTGTGAGTGAGTGGGTGACTGTGTGAGTGGGTGACTGAGTGAGTGACTGTGTGTGTGGGTGACTGTGTGAGTGGGTGACTGTGTGAGTGAGTGGGTGACTGTGTGAGTGGGTGACTGAGTGAGTGACTATGTGAGTGGGTGACTGTGTGAGTGGGTGACTGTGTGAGTGGGTGACTGTGTGAGTGGGTGACTGCGTGAGTGGGTGACTGTGTGTGTGGGTGACTATGTGAGTGGGTGACTGTGTGAGTGGGTGACTGTGTGAGTGGGTGACTGTGTGAGTGTGTGACTGTGTGAGTGGGTGACTGTGTGAGTGGGTGACTGTGTGAGTGGGTGATTGTGTGAGTGAGTGGGTGATTGTGTGAGTGAGTGGGTGACTGTGTGAGTGAGTGACTTTGTGAGTGGGTGACTGAGTGACTGAGTGACTGTGTGAGTGAGTGGGTGACTGTGTGAGTGGGTGACTGTGTGAGTGAGTGGGTGACTGTGTGAGTGAGTGGGTGACTGTGTGAGTGAGTGACTGAGTGAGTGAGTGAGTGACTGTGTGAGTGACTGAGTGGGTGACTGTGTGACTGTGTGAGTGGGTGACTGTGTGAGTGAGTGACTGTGTGAGTGGGTGACTGTGTGAGTGAGTGGGTGACTGTGTGAGTGAGTGGGTGACTGTGTGAGTGGGTGACTGTGTGAGTGTGTGAGTGGGTGACTGTGTGAGTGGGTGACTGTGTGAGTGAGTGACTGTGTGAGTGAGTGGGTGACTGTGTGAGTGGGTGACTGTGTGAGTGAGTGGGTGACTGTGTGAGTGAGTGAGTGGGTGACTGTGTGAGTGACTGTGTGAGTGAGTGACTGTGTGAGAGGGTGACTGTGTGAGTGACTGTGTGAGTGAGTGACTGTGTGAGTGACTGTGTGAGTGAGTGACTGTGTGAGTGGGTGACTGTGTGAGTGGGTGACTGTGTGAGTGGGTGACTGTGTGAGTGGGTGACTGTGTGAGTGGGTGACTGTGTGAGTGAGTGACTGTGTGAGTGAGTGTGTGACTGTGTGAGTGGGTGGGTGACTGTGTGAGTGACTGTGTGAGTGAGTGACTGTGTGAGTGTGTGAGTGGGTGACTGTGTGAGTGGGTGACTGTGTGAGTGGGTGACTGTGTGAGTGAGTGACTGTGTGAGTGGGTGACTGTGTGAGTGGGTGACTGTGTGAGTGGGTGAGTGGGTGACTATGTGAGTGATTCACCATCAGCTTCTGGAGGTTGACTCCAGACAGGGACATCTCTGGCACGTGCTCCACCATGAAGTTCTGTTAACTGGCTGGGTGGGTGACTGTGTGAGTGGGTGACTGTGTGGGTGGGTGACTGTGTGAGTGAGTGGGTGACTGTGTGAGTGGGTGACTGTGTGAGTGGGTGACTGTGTGAGTGAGTGGGTGACTGTGTGAGTGGGTGACTGTGTGAGTGGGTGACTGTGTGAGTGGGTGACTGTGTGAGTGGTTGACTGTGTGAGTGAGTGACTGTGTGAGTGGGTGACTGTGTGAGTGGGTGACTGTGTGAGTGGGTGACTGTGTGAGTGAGTGACTGTGTGAGTGAGTGAGTGGGTGACTGTGTGAGTGGGTGACTGTGTGAGTGGGTGACTGTGTGAGTGGGTGACTGCGTGAGTGGGTGACTGTGTGAGTGAGTGACTGTGTGAGTGGGTGACTGTGTGAGTGGGTGACTGTGTGAGTGGGTGACTGTGTGAGTGGGTGACTGTGTGAGTGGTTGACTGTGTGACTGTCTGAGTGGGTGACTGTGTGAGTGATTCACCATCAGCTTCTGGAGGTTGACTCCAGACAGGGACATCTCGGGCACGTGCTCGACCATGAAGTTCTGTTAACTGGCTGGGTGGGTGAGTGGGTGAGTGGGTGACTGTGTGAGTGACTGTGTGACTGTGTGACTTTGTGACTGAGTGACTGTGTGACTGTGTGAGTGAGTGACTGTGTGAGTGGGTGACTGAGTGATTCACCATCAGCTTCTGGAGGTTGACTCCAGACAGGGACATCTCTGGCACGTGCTCCACCATGAAGTTCTGTTTGTCGTTCTGCCTGTCCACTTTCTCCTTCTCCAGCGCCTCGGCGGCCCTCGCCAGCATCAGGCTCTGTGGCAGTCACGTGGGGGGGGGGGGGGGGGGGGAGTCACGTGGGAGACACGGGGGGGGGGTCACGTGGGAGTCACGTAGGAGTCACGGGGGAGAGTCACGTGGGAGACACGGGGGAGAGTCACGTGGGAGTCACGTGGGAGTCATGGGGGAGAGTCACGTGGGAGTCACGTGGGAGTCACGTGGAGTCATGGGGGAGAGTCACGTGGGAGTCACGGGGGAGAGTCACGTGGGAGTCACGTGGAGACACGTGGAGTCACGTGGAGTCACGTGGAGTCACGTGGGAACACGAGGGAGTCACGTGGGAGAGTCACGTGGAGACACGTGGAGACACGGCGAGATTGAGACGCAGTGATGGAGGTGGTGATGGTGGTGTTGGTGATGGAGGTGGTGGTGGTGGTGATGGAGGTGTTGGTGATGGAGCTGGTGATGGTGGTGGTGGTGGTGATGATGGTGGTGATGGTGGTGATGGTGGTGGTGATGTTGATGGTGGTGATGGTGGTGGTGATGGAGGTGGTGGTGGTGATGTTGATGGTGGTGGTGGTGATGGTGGTGGTGATGGAGGTGGTGGTGATGGTGGTGGTGGTGGTGATGTTGATGGAAGTGGAGGTGGTGATGGAGTTGGTGGAAGTGGTGGTGGTGGTGATGGTGGTGATGGAATTGGTGGTGGTGATGTTGATGGTGGTGATGGCGGTGGTGATGGAGGTGGTGGTGCTGATAGAGGTGGTGGTGATGTTGATGGAAGTGGAGGTGGTGATACAGTTGGTGGAGGTGGTGGTGGTGGTGGTGATGGTGTTGGTGATGGAGGTGGTGGTGATGTTGATGGTGGTGGTGGTGATGTTGATGGAAGTGGAGGTGGTGATGGAGTTGGTGGTGGTGGTGGTGGTGATGGTGGTGATGGAATTGGTGGTGGTGATGTTGATGGCGGTGATGGCGGTGGTGATGGAGGTGGTGGTGCTGATGGAGGTGGTGGTGATGTTGATGGAAGTGGAGGTGGTGATAGAGTTGGTGGAGGTGGTGGTGGTGGTGGTGATGGTGGTGGTGATGGAGGTGGTGGTGATGTTGATGGTGGTGGTGGTGATGTTGATGGAAGTGGAGGTGGTGATGGAGTTGGTGGTGGTGGTGGTGGTGATGGAATTTGTGGTGGTGATGTTGATGGGGGTGATGGCGGTGGTGATGGAGGTGGTGGTGCTGATGGAGGTGGTGGTGATGTTGATGGAAGTGGAGGTGGTGATGGAGTTGGTGGAGGTGGTGGTGGTGGTGGTGATGGTGGTGGTGATGTTGATGGAAGTGGAGGTGGTGATGGAGTTGGTGGAGGTGGTGGTGGTGAT